TCCAGCCTTACCTCAATATGGGCCACCACCCATATCGATAAGATCCAGTACCCTAACGGCATAACTCAATTTCTCTACAGAACCATGTGACGCCTCTGCAGTACAATACAGTACATCCATTGTTCAATCCAGTCAATTCACAGGGCCACCCAGTTCCTCCACAACATAATCCAATTCCCCTCCAACAGGACCCAGCTCTGCCTATAATGGACTTGAGTTACATCGAGAGATATAGGAGACTTAACCCATCTAGTTTTGTAATGCATCTACTTTTGAGAAAATTAAGTACTATTTGGCATAAATAAAGAAGACATTCGCGACACTTGGGGTGATTCCCGAAAATAAGGTTGTTTTTGCCATGTATATGCTCGTAGGTGAGGTGGGACATTGGTGGCAACTCAAGCAGGCTACTTTTCCCACTCCAGTCACCTAAGAATAATTTTTGGTAGCCTTCAATGATGAATACCTTTTAAAACATCTCTGACATCTGAAAGAAATAGAGTTTGCACAACTACTTTAGAGAGATTTGTCAATAACAAAGTATATTCAAAAATTCCTTGAGTTAATCTGATACTCCCTTGATAGTATGATAGATGAAAACAGGAAGATAAGAAAATTTGAATGGGGTCTTTGCCTTGAGATCAGACAACAGTTATATGTGTTTGAGCTTAACACATATTTTGTAGTCTTAGCCAAGACACAGTTGATCGAGAGTAATATTTATATTTTTTCCTCAGCGATGGGCAACTCCAGGCCCTCAATCCCACATCGTAGACCAGCACTCATTGCACTGATCTAGCAAAACAAGAGGTTAAGGCCCGCACATCAAGCTCCTTCCCAGGCCCCGATAGGAGGACGTGGTAAAATTTGCCAACACTGTGGCAAAGATCATGGGAACTGACCTTGTTATTGTATCAACAACACCTGTCTCATATACAAGAGTGTCTAACACTACGCGATAGAGTGTGCAAGAAATTTGAATTCGACTAGACCTGCGGTTTAGGGCAGAGTCTACGCACTCATCGAGTAGGATGCTGAAGTCAACCCATATGTGATTTAGGGTACGTATATTATATGTAAACATCTTGCACATGTTTTAATTGACATAAGTGCTTCACATTCTTTTATTGCAGATGATATTACTCAATATTTAAATGTACTATATGAACATCTTGATTCTGTATTATTGGTGTCTACACTTGGGAACGAAACATTACTGAAAAATGTTATGTACAAATCTTACATCATAGAAATAACATATAGGGCACATAGATCTAATAGTACTAAACACATGGAATTTTGATATAATTTTAGGGATGAACTGGTTTTACCACAAGAGACTTGTATTCAACATCCCTAATAAAAAATCTTTTACTAATTAATAAAATCTCAGATATTGTTGGCGTATAATGATAATGTATTAAATATAATCGTATGCAATTGATTTGGCACCGAGTCAGCGTGCCTTGCAACGCGATGCGCTCCGGTTCGTCAGGGCTACTTACTTGGCGGTCTTACGTGGTGCAATCTTTTTTAATTGCGTTTTGACCTACAGTTTCTGATTTTTCTTTCAAAAATACCATCCAAACCCAAATTTTCACTTATTTTTTCTAAAATTATTTTAAATTTATACTCAACCTATTTTTTTTCTTCCTAATTTTAGATTAAATAAAAATTTATAAATTTTAAAATTATATTTTTTTAATTTTAAAATTAATTTCAGACCAAATTCTAGGACCGAGTATTAAAATTTTAAAAAATAAAAAATTGAAAAATGTTTCAAATAATTATAGTGATAAACAAATGAAGATTTTTTAGAGTAAAATAAGAATTAACAAAATTTAATAAGGCCAGAAGTGGAACAAAAATATGTGACCATAAAAAAACCATCGAATCGATAATTTTAAAAATTCGTCTCAAATTTACCTTTTAGATACCATAAAATATCCTCAAATAACTATATAATCAGAAAACAAATATAATTTCATCATCCCAATACCATACCCTATATTAATTGATCACAAAATATTAGCATCCAAATAGAGGGTAAGAGACTATTCTAATATCTCTTGATATTATAACAACAAAATACAATTTTTTTTAAGTTCTATTATATGATTTACAGGATTACATTACATAAAAATTTCTTATTATTTAATAATATCTTAATTAACTAATGTAATATATATTTATCGTGTATATATATATATATATATAGTTCTAAGATGTTTAGTAATAATAAAAAATAAAATTTAACAACTATATAATATTTTAATTACATAGGAAAATATGTGTTTAAATTATGATAATTAATATTTATATTTTTAATATATTTAATTATAAAAAGATTAATAATAAACCGAATAAATTCTTGTTATTCATAATAATTTAATTTATATAATATCATATTTAGTTTTTAATAGGAAAAGCGTCTATTAAAAACTTATTATCAATATGTATATATTGCATATAATATTTTTGTATATTCTAAATTATAATCTATATTATTTTAATTTAAGTAGAATAAAGAATTACACAAATTAAAGATGATAATAAAAATATAAGTAATTTTTATTCATCTATATTATTCATATCCAAAAAATATAGTTTTTATAATTCTTTTTTGAATTTAAAATATATCACAATTTTTTACTGAATTTTCTTAACATAATATGTTTTAAAATTTAAAAAACAAAATTAAATCCATTATAATTTGATATAATTACATATTTCAACAAATAAAAGAAATACCATATTTATATTGCATTTGCATTTAAGAATTTAATTTTGAAGTTATAAAATTGAGGTTCTTGGTCGAAAGGTTGGTGAAGTATAATAGAGGAAGATGGGCAAGCTCACACAGAGAGAACGTGGAGACGAAACGTTGTAGTCTAATGGAGTGGTTGAATCAAATGGTGTCAGAGCCATACTATCTCTGTCATTTCCTGGCTTTCTTCTCTTATTTACCTGTTCGCACCTCTGCTTCTCTTGCCCTATCTCCCCACATCTCCCATCTTCTGGTTTATCGGGTAGGGTACTCTCTCTTTGTGTGTAAGCAATTTATGACAACTGCTGCTTGTTTAGGCTGTTATATAGTGGAAAATTGCTCTTCCATGCAGGAGATTCAAGGGATTTTGGCATTTTTGGTGTTGACGGCGATCAAAGTATGGCTCCTCTCCTTCTGCTTTCTTCAAGATTTTGATTCACTAATTGGTTCCAAATATATCAGCATTCTTTATTTTTCTTTTTGTTTTGTCTCTTTGGCTTCTTTGCAGGTAGTGAAGGAAGAAACATGGGAGGCGTTTATTGCTGATACACTGTTTTTTGCAAAGGTGGTTCTTAATTTTCTACTCTAAAGTCGAATTTTGTTCAAATTTACTATTTTCTCATTGGATCTTAACTATTTGATAATTAGAGCCTACTTCTAATTTGTACATATTTTGATGTATCACTCTCTTCTCTATTTCATTTTTACAGTCATAAATCTATATTTCCATAAGATCTAAGAAAAAAAGAAGAAGAAGAAGAAGAAGAAGAAGAATCTAGCTTGAATTAGAATACTGTTTTCCAAGTTTATTATATTCTCGCTGATTTAAATTTGAACAACCTATTGTTTTTGGCAGAGATTAAGATCGAGTACATTCAGGATAAGTTTTTAAGATTTATGCTTTATTTTTTTTTCATTAAATACCGTATATTTGGTGCTTAGTATCGCTATCTTTTGACTTGATAACCTCTTGTTTCAGATTTTTCTTATTGCCATTTCCTTATTTATCGATTACCACGTGGCTCTCTGGTACTCACTGGTGTTTTTTGGTAGGCATTTGTGGCCTTATTCTCTGCTTTAATATGTTAACTTATTAACCATGAAACTTTATGGCCTTGCTGGGTTTTGGTTTTTTGTTTTTAGTATAAATACCCAGGCTTCAAATATTTTTTAAGTGAAAACCTCATCAAAGTTTTGTGGGGGATAAGCATTTCTTCAATGATTTTTTGAGGGTTGAAGTTGCTTCTATATAATTAGTTTGTTTCATATTGATTTAGTGCTGTTTTAATGCTGATAGTTATAAAAGTAGTTTTGTTCATGCTGTATGTTTTAACTCTATGACCTTCCTTGCAGTGATATATACTTTAACCCAACAACCGGCCTTCAAAGAACTAGGTATGGAAGAAAGATGTTCTTCTCATTTTTACTGAAATCAGATTGAGTTTCTAGGTTTTGCAATTAAATCAGGAGTGTTTATGTAAACTTCTGTCTGATTGAGCCTTTACGTACATCCAATAAATTAACACTGCTACAGGAGGAAAGATATTCTTCTCACTTTTACTAAAATCAGATTCAATTTCTAGGTTTTGCATTACATCAGGAGTGTTTATGTAAATTTCTGTCTGATTGAGCTTTTAGGTACATCCAGTAAGTTAACACCACTACAGTTGGAAGCATTGCTAACTGAAGGGAATGC